ATTTTTCGCAATAAGTTTATTACAGTTTTTTAAGATTTGGGAGAATTTGGGGGGATTATTTGTTTCAGATTGATTGTGTGAATCCGATAATTTCATCGGCTCTCAATTTATTTCTGAAATATTAATTCAATTTAATTGAATGTATATTAGATAGTAGTTCAACATCTTAACACTCGACCGAAAAGGCGCGATGTATTTAAAGTCAATAACTTTAAATTTTAACGAGTAAGTGGCTCCAAGTAAACTTTTGCACAAATATTTATTATTGTTTTATTAGTATGTATATAAAATTACAGTTAATTCTTATGTACATAATATTACTTCTTCATTAAATTTACAAATGTGTAAGTATATAAAACGCGATTTTACATTTTTAAAAAATCGAAACAAACGAAAAATTAAGTAACTTTTAAATAAATAAAAGAATTGTGTTCAAATTTTATTTACAATTAGATACTCAGACGTAATAATAGAACAATCAATAAAATTTGTGTTAAATCCCGAGTATTTTGAAAGTAAGTATTAGATATTCTTAAATATCGAATATATCGTGTAGAATTTGAAATTGGCTGATATTGCTAAGACACAGAGCACAATAAAATTAGTATTTTATTTAAAAACATTCACTTCGGCTGTTTAAATTAAGTATTTCAATCAGTTCTCTACTTCTCGTCATCATAAGAGTGGAGAAGCGTTTCATTTAGCAAGATTTACGCAACGTGTATGGTCCGATTGCGTTAACATCTCGTCGATTTAGTCACCAAATGGAATATACATTGACCAGAAGGACACCCCTGGAGGAAAGGGCGGATCCTCCCTCCGTGTGGCGCGATAACTCAGTTACGTGCCAATATCATGATTACATGTCATCCTTGGCAGTCGACAGCCTCTAGAGTAATGATTATTGTGGGACTGTCGAAGTGGTTACGGGATCGCATTGAGCGGCCAAATTTCTCGAGGCCAGTGAATAATCCGTCATTCGGCCGCTAACTGTTTCCGCGGTAACCTGCTGTTATTACATCATAAATACGTAACCGCGAAGATATGATAATGGAAGCCAAAATGATTTCAAATGCGGAATGGAAAACGATTAATGTGGACGTTTGTTGGCTCGCCATTCTAGTCTCAAATTTTGAAATTAATTTGTTATTCTTTATGTCGGGCTTCTCGCATTCACCATTTCAACAGTTATATGTATATATCTATTA